CTACCAGAGCCACTCCAGAGAATAGGTTCTGGATCTACCCCAGTTTCTAATGGTGGCCGTCGCGCATGGCTAACCTCTAGGAAAAATAAAGCGTTATACCTGCTAAAGAGGATCCACGCTTACCTCATTGGGAGTCACCACCATAATTGTGTATTGTATGGAGTAATCGTTGAACAGCTTTAAGATAGGATTGTTGTCTGAGCTCACCGTGGGCGATTTTGGAAGATTTATTGTAAGATTGACACATTTGTTGCATGAAGTAACACGAACAATGGGCGGCCCCAGTGCAGCTAGAAAGAAACAAGGGGTAAATCATCATTCAAAGGACTAATAAAACAGTATTTTGTATTACAGATACTAGCAAGATCTAATTAATATGTAGCCACAAAGGGGAAAAAATACAGGCCACTAGCCTACTACTAAGTTAGCTGCAGAGGCTTTTACCTCCTAAAGGGCCCCTGAGGATTACCATTCGAAGGGTAATGTGACCCTACTTTTATTGCACAATCAGTCTTTAGGGCCATTACTAAGTCTTTGGTCTGAGCTGTTGGACATATTTACCAAGAACTGCAGGGGTTAAAAGGCATGTTGCACCGCAGCAGTTTAACTCCCTCAGCATAGTAAAGAAATGTGAAGTCACTAGCCTATACGTATACATACATATCCTGCAGTACGTTTCTCTTTTTACCTGCAAATCTCAAACTGCCATAAAATAAGTGACTTTTTTTGTCCAGGTTAACTTGAACAGGTAACAAAATAATCCATTAAAGGACCACTATAGGCACCCAGACCCCTTCAGCTTAATGAAGTGGTCTGGGTGCCAGGTCCAGCTAGGATTAACCCTTTTTTTTTTTTATAAACATAGCAGTTTCAGAGAAACTGTAATCAAGCCTCTAGTGGCTGTCGCTTGACAGCCGCTAGAGGCGCTTGAGTGCTTCTCACTGTGAAAATCACAGTGAGAAGACGCCAGCGTCCATAGGAAAGCATTGTGAATGCTTTCCTATGGACTGGCTGAATGCGCGCGCGACTCCTGCCGCGCATGCGCATTCAGCCGAAGAGGAGCAGAAGAGGGAGGAGAGGAGGAGGAGAGCTTCCCGCCTGGCGCTGGAGAAAGAGGTAAGTTTAACCCCTTCCTCTCCCCAAAGCCCAGAGCTTTTGATTAAAAATCTATAAATTTGTTAGTACTCTGTACAGGTGAATATTTCCGCTCTTAAAATTAAAGTCGAACGTCCCATTTATTTAAAATAAAAATAGCCAACCTTTTACCATTTAAAATAAAAAAATACATTTGCTGTGGATGTGTGTATTTTGTAATGCATACATGCAGGTAAAATATCTTTCTGGTTTCCAGTGTTTTATCTTTAAGTCTTCAAAGATTCATATATGACACACTCTGAGCTAGTTCAGCTGTTCATACTGTGAACAGTCCTTTGTGTTATTAAGGTTTTCAACCAAATAATTTTTTGATTATTATTTGTCAATGTATTTTTATTATCTTACATTTTCATTCAATATGAAAAGAAGCCTAGTTTGCTAGAACAATTCAAAGATTACATTTCAAATTTAATTGTGACACAAGCTTTTTCAGCTACCATAGGAGGTGGTGGTCACGGGTCTACTTTAAAACGTGGACACATTGTGTCAGCTGATATGCTGCTGTTGGAAGCAAAACCTTGCAAACCTACCACTGTGACATATCCTGGACCTACAGGATTATTACACGAGGCATACTGAAGCCTTTTTACTTACTGCTTTCAAAAGGATTAAACAATGCAGAGTATGAAATGTTCGAAATAGCATTATGGGTGAAGCTTTGCACAGATCCTTGGTAATTTCCTAGAAGGTCAGTAAAATATTCCGTCAGGTCACAGAGCTGGTTTGTAACATTGGAGCATTTATCAACTGGTTTCCACTGCGATCTTCAGAAAATAGGCCCCCAAAAAATAAAAAATAAACTTGTATCATACAAGGTATTGGTAAAGTAGAAGTGTTGTGTTACACAGCAGATCAATACAGAAAGCTCAAGACTAACCAAGATAATGTAAAAGCGAACCACAGAAGTTTTACCTTATCCAATGACGCATCACGATAATGAACAGACTGCTTGAAACACTAGACTTTGCAGCTTTTTGAATTGTTTCAATGCTTTCGTTATGAAAAATTATATTGTCTGTATTACTAGGTCTACTGAATCACGAAAGACAATCTTGCCAAACAAGCACACAATAGCCAACGTGCCAAAGTATCAGTAACCAACAGTAGGCAACGTGCCAAAGTAAAAACTTCCCAGCAATCCAGCGTTATGTGATGTTCCCAACAATCCTCTTCACGCCCCGTTCCAACGTCACAGCCTCCCTTGTGCGGCCAATCAAATGCTTCACAACAGAAGCATTTCTCACCAAGAATTGGTGGCCTTTGCCCATTGTCTTTGGCCCTTTTCTTCGCCTCCATTGACAATGGGCCATTCTCCCCCGAAGTACCAGTAGCCCTGTCTCTCTCCTCCCCTCCCCTCCCCACTGCCAGTAGGCTTAATATCTCCTGCCTCCCCCCAACTGCAAGAAGCCAAATCCCTTCCCCCACTGCCAGAAGCTCAATCTCATCCCCCAAAACTACCAGAAGCCAAATCTCTCCTGTCCCCCAACTGCCAGAAGCCAAATCTCTCCCGTACCCCAACTGACAGAAGCCACTGCAAGTAGGCCAATCAGTAGGACAATCTCTCTCGTCCCCATATTGTCAGTTGTAGGAACCGCACTCAATCCCTTTAGCAGCCATCGGTGCTCTTGAGTAGGACCAGCAATACCAACACGTCAAGTCAAAAAAGAAATATCCAGCCACTCAAGTGTGAAAGCCGCAAGCAGATTTTAATGGAGCAAAAAGAGCAGCAACGTTTCGACCTTCACAGAGGTCTTTGTCAAGCTTGAAATATCCAGCCACTCAAGTGTTCCCCACATTTCCAGTAGTCCAATCTCTACCACCCTAGTCTGAAGCTCTTTTTCTCCACTGTCACACTTTTAGCAGCCTATTTTCCCCTCACCTCTTGCTAATAGCCAATAGCTGCCACCCTACCTCACTGACCGCAGCCCATGTTCCACAGCATTATACATGGTAATGGGAATTTCTTATAAATATTTAAATCCTTGTTTAAGTGCAGAAAATAAGTTAAAACAGGAATAAACGTACCTTTCTTGGGTAATGTAGTGAACAGATGCATTCAAATAATTATTCTCCCAGACCAATACATGCACGAAGTTTTCAGAAATTATACGAACGTTCCGTGGAGGTGGCAGATTTGATGACACTGAAATAAAATATAAAATACCAGAAGGTTCTTAGAATTTAGTTTTTTTTCTTATACATAAAATTTGTTCTTTTTTTGACAAGCAAATTGGGAAACCACACGAGACAAAAAAAAAATGTTCTTCACTTAACAGCATACCGCTCTTTCACATAACATGTACTTTATTAAATATATGTCTGTCAGGAGTTAATATGGGGATGAAATAACTGCTTATTTCAATACCTTTAGAAGCACGGATGTTATTTTCCTCATGCACCTTGTATATTAATGTTTATACTCCTTATACTTGTGCCAAATGTCAAAACCTGTGTGCCGCCATTTTGTTCCCTTCTGCCTGTGATGTCATATAAACCCACAAACCATGGAGAAATAGAACGACAATAAAGGATCCCAAAAAAAAAAGTGTACAAAGCCACACACTTTGCAGCTTTAGTTAATTTTAATATATATATATTTTTTACTATATAATGACAAAATCTTCAAATAAATATTGTTTAAAAAAAATAAAATAAAAAGCTTTTCTTTTGTATTCCTTTTGTGCAACTTTATTTAGTGAGCAATGGTGGTGAACACTCCTCCCCAGTTTAATCAATAGGGACATTACAATAAAAATACAAAATACCACCCACCTAATCCTATGTGAGCATGATAGTTTACTTATTAGTGCGGTTTAAGTAACAAAAGACCTATAAAATACTTAAACCACACTAATAATTACAATTCTGTTTTGTGGAATAGAGGATATTTCCACATAAGTGTACCGAGCAGCCTGTAAATCACCTCTATTGTCTAAACCACTCTTTTATACACACCCCTCTGTAAAAGGAGGTAACCATTGACTGGTATTCATGTTAGTTTACTTGTGTGGGGGTGTGGGGATACTGGATATCCCATTTTAATAAGTGCTCATCTATTTTGTATTGTATGTAGCAACACCAAAAAGCCAAAGTAGATCCCTTCTCTCTTTTATGTGACCCATGTCCAGCCTTGCGATATCTGTGATAGGGGTTGCCATGCGTGGCTCCATCTATTTCTCGGTGTCTATTAACAAATTGTCATGATTGGCCTATAGGATGCTGCTCCGATAACCGTACATAATATTTGCAGACAGGCCACACTTGCTCTGGGTTTTAGGTTCCCTGATGGTGCTGTGTGCACCAAAATGAGCATCAGGCCATTGTCAGGTTTTTTTTTAATGTATCCTTGGGGCGCACTATATTTTGTTAGTCACTTTTAATGTAAGTGGAACTTGTTAACAATCTTACTAGCTTTGGTATGTAAGTCGCTTTGGGTATGCAACATATAGATAATAGCCTAGTAACAAGAGTTTACAGGTTTGTTGGCTGCATAGCTTAATTTACTTATCTATCCAGTTTGAAGGTGCCTGACATGCAAGATGCATTGTACAACCACGGTGTGCTACCGTTTTACCAACCTGCTAATGGGTTATAGGATGCAATTCACAGCCAAGGTGAGCGACGTGATGTGCGTGACGTGTGCACGCACCACGAGGCAGATTCTAGGGGGTTGACAGGTCAGTGGAGGAATAGACACCACGAGATAGTGGCTCTGAACAGAGAGGAGCTCGGAGAACGGAAAGACAAGAGCCCCAGTAGTGGCGTACTGAAGACTGGAGGTGGCAGACTGGAAGTTGAAATATACTAAAATCAACTTCATTAGCACAACTCTACCCACTGGTTTAAGGGGAGAAAGAGAAAGGGTTTAATAAACCGCATAAATTACACAAGTGGAAAACTCTAAAGGTTTGTCTATAAATAATAACGAAAAGAGAAAGAGAAAAGAGGAAAACAAAGGGGAAGGAAGTGAACTAAGTAGTTGAAATGGCTATGGTAAAAATCCCCCCCCAAAAAAGATAACAAACAAGACAAACATGTGTATGCCCTTTTCTCCCCTCAAAATAAACAGGGAGTATGGGTAGAAAATTATTTTGCAGAAGAATCCGTAGTGGAAGACAGAAGAAATTCCATGTCTAACCTTCATGATTTTATTAAAACAAACTTGGAAAACCAAACGGAGACATTTAAAAGAGAGCTAGATAATAGTACAAGCCAATTAAAACAGCGAATAGAAGAACTTGGTACGAAAATAATTAAAATAGAGGAAAATCAAGAAAGAATAGCATCTCATTATAAAGTAGTTTCTGAAGAGCAGGAAAAAAGATAGACGGACCTGAATAATTTAGAAATGCGACTAAAATCAATTGGAGGATAGACAAAGGATGAAAAATATAAGAATAAAATAATATTCCCGAGGACATCACTTCTGAAAGAGTAAAAGAATTTCTAATTGAACTGTTTGCAACGCTAAATATACAAATCCCAAATCAAGAAATGATGATAGAGAACACATACCGGGTGAGAAAACCGCAAAACATCCTGGAATCATGTCCTACAGATACGGTGGTCTCCCTATAGTCACTCCATATTAAACAACAGGTTATTCATGCAAGCAGAAATATGAAAATAACAGAAGAAAGATTTAAAAGACATCTCTTCCCTTCCTTTCCTAAGAACAAATAGATGAGAACAGTGGGGAAAAGAGAAGAGAAAGAATAACGGCACAGTATGACAAGCAAAGAACACAAAATACTAAGTGTATTATATAAGAATAGTGGATGTAAGATAATTCATATGTAAGAAGTGTGGTATATATTCACTTGGTAAACTTATAGTTTATGTAGTACTTTAAGTTGTAATTTTTATCGTGACGTTCCTCTTCATGTCCTATGCTGGATAGATTGTGTCCTGAACTCACATAATTGCAGGTATTGGTACCCTTTAGAATATGTTTTGAACTAACAACAATACAATAGGGAATCTTATGTATAGAAATCGCTGGTCTAGATCAACCCTTTAAATACCCCTGCTTGGAGGTCGTTTAGTAGATATCAGCCCTTGGCATTATGGGTAATTATGTGGACTGCAATCCACCTCTGATGTAGGTGAGGATGTGCGTTGTTCTCCTTGTTTTAAAGGAGAACCTATATTGGGACAAGGAGTAAATAACTAGGATATAACTCTGAAGTGCATCTCTATGAATATACAGGGTTTAAATACCCCATTTAAAAGAAAACTTTTATATGAATTACTCAGAAAGGACTGGATAGGCATTGCAATGATTCAAGAAACTCACTAGAAAAGGGAGGAGAAGATCAGATGGAAATATGAGTGGCATGAGGTAGCCGCACATGCATCTCTTGAGAGAGCAAAAAAAAGAGAAGTGGACATTATTTTTTCAAAAAAGCTCAATAAAGAGACAATCTATTCCGAGTTAGACAATGAAGGTAGATATCAGATTTTAGTATGTAAAATAGACTCGGTTAATTATACTTTTGTAAATCTGTATCTTCCCCCAATATTTTACCAACCAAGTACTTAAAGAAGATAATGGAAAGGGTGGAAAAAGTTAAATTGGGATTGTTAGTTATAACTGGGGATTTCAGTTGTGTCCCAGATACAGTATTAGATAAAAAAAAAATAAAAAAAAAATAAAGAAAATAATAAAAAATAAATAAACCAGTAAACAACTAAAGAAACAATATCCTAAGAAATATAATGCAAGAAAATAACTTAATGGATATATGGCGAGTATACCATGTGGAAGAAAACGAATATACACATCATTCTAGAGTACACCATTTACTGTCTAGAATTGATTTGGTTTAAGGAGAGAATAGTTTAGTTGAACAAATACAGAAAATTATAATAAAGGACAATCCATGGGCGGACCATAGTTATAACTTGTTTGATATAAAGGAAATGAGAAAACACAAACCCTATACTATGTGGCGCCTGGATGATAATATTTTGTCTAATATAGTAGACCAAAACCAAATTAGAAATTTAAAAGAACTGTACGTTACTGAAAACAAAACAGAAGGATTGTCGTACGCAACCATTTGGTGTGCCTTCAAAGCCGTAGTGAGAGGGTATTTGGTAAAACTCAAAAGTAAAATGCAAAGAGAAAAAGGTACCTTGAGGGAAGAAATATAAATAGAGTACTTTAAGCTATCAAAAAACAAAAAATATTTAACCAATGAAACGACAAAACAATTAGAGGAGATTAAAAACAAAATAAATAAAATAGAAACGGAAGGGATTAATAAAAATTTAGAGAAAATGAAAATGAATTTCTACCACGATAAAATAACAAAATTGTTCACAAACAAACTTAAAAGGAAATCAGGGAAGAACAGGATAGTAAGTATTAATAAAGAACAAACAACATATAGAAATCCAGAGACTATAGCTAAAAATTTTCAAACCTATTACGAAGAATTATATAACATCCCAAAACAACCTAAAGAAAACCAAATAATAAAAATCTAAAAGACATAAACTTCCCTAAATTAACATTGGAACAAAATAATTTTCTAAATGTACCCCTCATTAAGGCAAAATTTAAACAAGCTATTGAAAAATTTGTAAACTTTAAAACTCCTGGTCCAGATGGTTTGACAAATAGTTTCTGCAAAATTTATAAAGATATTTTATAGGAACACTTGGTAAATGCCTTTAATGAAATTGTAGCTAAAGGCATAGGGCCAAAAGAAATGTTATATGCTAATATTCTACCGATCCTAAAAAAAGATAAAGACCCCCAAGAGCTTAAGAATTACCGCCCGGTTTCACTAATAAATGTAGATTCAAAGTTGTTCTTGGCAATTTTGGCAGATAGGATAAAGAAAGTGCTCCCAGGCCTGGTCCATGAAGACCAGATTGGTTTTGTTCCACCAGACAGGCAAGTGCCAATTCAAGGTGTTTGATAAATATTTTGGACTGGGGAGAGGGAACGAAAAGTCCCCTCCTGATCCGGTCACTGGATGCAGAAAAGGCCTTTGACAGGGTCGAGTGGGGATACATGTTTCGGGTGCTGGAGGCTATGAGTTTTGATGGTTGGATGAGTGCAGCAATCAAAACTATATCTCAAGTACCCATGGCTAAAGTGGTTGGAATAGATTTGTGCTCTGACTGGTTTCGATTGGGCAACGGCACCCATCAAGGATGCCCGCTGTCACCAATACTTTATATACTTTCGATGGTGCCTTTAGCTATAAGAATAAGAGAAAACCCAGGTATAAGGGGGATTCCAGCAAATGTTAGAAAATTTAAACTGTGTATGTATGCGGATGACACCATAGTGACCCTGCCTGACCCAAATGCTTCCGTTTCCCATTTGATGAATGAGAACGCAATATAGCAAAACATCCAATTATAAGATCAACAAAGATAAATCTGTGGTTATGTTTAAAAATTGTGAAGTGGATAAAAAAAAAAAAAAAATCAAAAAAAAATCTTAGATTTATATGGCTTAAATGAAGCCATGGGAAGCTTTGATTATCTGGGTATACTGTCTGATAACATAGATAGAATAATAGAGATCAACTTTTTAATGGATGACTCTAAAAAAAATGGAACACTTTGCTACTAAGCTGGCTGGGAAGAATTAATATTTTAAATGTCAATATAATCCCCAGATGGACTTATTTTTTAAAAATGATCCCCTTAAAATACCTGCAAGCTGGTTGGAGATAATACAGAAAATCAAGAACAAATGATTAATCCCTTGGGGCAAGGAGGTATGAATTTCCCCAATATTAAAAAACACTACGAAGCTAGCATAATATACCACACTCAGATACTAACCAGAAAAGAAGTAAGAGAAGCAGGATGGTTCATTCTGGAAACTCAAGCATTAAATAAGAAAGATTTAAATAAGATAATCTGGCAGAATAAAAAGACTCTTGGTAATGAAAGAAAATACAAATATAATTTTAACCCATATTTGCTCTTCTTGGTATAAAATAAGAAAAAAAATATGAAAAATATAGGCAAGTTATACGGATTTATGGAACTAGAAATCTTTAATAAATTATTTAAAATTAGATCTATGGAGAGAAAAGAACATTACAATTGTAAATGATATAATAACGGAGGGAAAAAGGAACACTTTTGTTACTCTAGTCCAAGAATATAACTTGCCTGCATCCGAAGTGTTCCATTATATGAGAGTTAAATCACTGTTGCTAAAAAACTTAGATGAAGGGAGAAGTCAAAGTTTTATATATATATAAAAAAAAGCTGGTACCAGACCTGCTTTCATGGAAGGTACCACAATGTCCGGAGCCTCAAGATTCTTGTATCACTTTGAGCAGGCACCCTTTCATGGGTGTACCTAACAAATGTGGATATGGTGGTAGGGTAGGTATCAATGGCACATCCACAGAAGCTTGCAGGCTGTGTCCGAGCTTGGAGGAGAATTAATTTATCCAGGATAGAAAAAAAGCTGGTCTCAGGATTCGACTGAACACGTGGCCTCAGCCATTATAAAGAAGACCGGATTTCTTCAGCTTGTTCATTGTTGAAGATAGAAAGTCGCCGTAACACTAGCGGAGATGGAAGAGACTAAAGGTGGAGAGTTCGGCCACCTACCCCTCACCCACAGTGAGTAAGCTGCAGATCAGTCCTGAGTAAAATCCTCCAAATGTAATTGGAAATGCAGCAAGGTTAAATATGCCCAAACCCACCAAGTTTTATGAGAGTTTCTGTTGTGTTAAAAATAAAAATAAAAAATCAGTAAATATGGACATAATCCTCTAAAAAGGCATAAAGATCAGTTTTTCACTTGGAGCTCTCAGGAGATGCGGCTGATCAGCATGGCAGTCAGCCACCCACCCTTGTTTTAAAAAAAAAAAAAAAAATTAAGTTCGGTCATAGGTTTGGTGTTCCCCTAGAAAAGGCATAGGCAACCTTCGGCACTGCAGATGTTTTGGACTACACCTCCCAAGATGCTTTGCCAACATTATGGGTGTAAGAGCATTATGGGGGATGTAGTCCACAACATCTGGAGTGCCAAAGGTTGCCTATCCCTGCCCTAGAATAATAGCTTTTTTTTTTTGCTCTAAGGGTTAATTGGCCATTTGTTTCACTTTGGTAGTATATCCAACAACTGTTTATGATCAAAAGGTTTTTGGCAAGTTACTGGGTACTTTTTATTCAATGTTTATGACTTTATTGCTGGAGATTTTAGGTTTAGCGAACAAACAATGAAAGCTCACAATGTAAGAGAAACATTCAGTAAAATAATAAAAAGGAAGTAAGATGGTCTGAGGTTACACAACAAAAACATATTCATAGTCATGTGCATTACCAACCCCCATCTAAGAGCAGGAAATCAATCACAGCACTTTTTTGTTGGTAGTGGCAAAAACAAGAAGCCGTACAATAAAACGGTGACTTTGTATGTGTATCATAGGTATTTCTCAAAAAGCAAAAACAACACACACACACACACACACACAGACACAGGCACACACAAAAAGTGTTTTTGTAAGGGTTACTCCAACTAAATACCAATGAAATGCTGGTTTTGGTTGGAGTAACTCTTTTGCGCCCTCTCTCTCTCAGCTGACGCCGGACGAGGAGGGCGGAATGAGTGGCATGGACGAAGGGCTCTTGGGTGCCTGGCATCAATTTTTGTATGGTCTTCCTATTAGCAAGCCCAGAACGCTAGTTCCAGGCTGACTAATGAAGCACCTATCATGCTGTTGGAGGTAGAGTTACACTACCAGCAGCAGAAGGGTTAATGTCTGTGTTCAGCAGTTCATGGCTAAATGCTGCATGTACAGACTCTGGGCACCATGACCACTTCAAATCACTGAAGTGGTCATGGTGCTTGCAGTAACCGTTTAATTCAGTATACAGATATTGCAAATAAATATAGTCAAATCTATTAAAAAGCATTCTGAAAAGAAATAAATGAAACAATTTTCAACATTAAGTGAAGTTGAATTGCTGCAAATTCCCACGCAGTGTAACTTTTACAATGATCTCATGATACTCTTATTTCTTTATCACTTATGAGCATGTGAATACTGTTGCCGAGCTTAACATTCTCAGTCACCATTGCTCTTTGCCCTACCTCCACCTGTCTCCAGGGCTGCACTATTCCCATGGAATGCTCTACCTCAACCTGTCTCCAGGGTTGCACTATTCCCATGGAATGCCCTACCTCCACCTGTCTCCAGGGCTGCACTATTCCCATGGAATGCCCTACCTCCACCTGTCTCCAGGGCTGCACTATTCCCATGGAATGCCCTACCTCCACCTGTCTCCAGGGCTGCACTATTCCCATGGAATGCCCTACCTCCACCTGTCTCCAGGGTTGCACTATTCCCATGGAATGCCCTACCTCCACCTGTTTCCAGGGCTGCACTATTCCCATGGAATGCCCTACCTCCACCTGTCTCCAGGGTTGCACTATTCCCATGGAATGCCCTACCTCCACCTGTCTCCAGGGCTGCACTATTCCCATGGAATGCCCTACCTCCACCTGTCTCCAGGGCTGCACTATTCCCATGGAATGCCCTACCTCCACCTGTCTCCAGGGCTGTACTATTCCCATGGAATGCCCTACCTCCACCTGTCTCCAGGGCTGCACTATCCCCATGGAATGCTCTACCTCCACCTGTCTCCAGGGCTGCACTATTCCCATGGAATGCCCTACCTCCACCTGTCTCCAGGGCTGCACTATTCCCATGGAATGCTCTACCTCCACCTGTCTCCAGGGCTGCACTATTCCCATGGAATGCCCTACCTCCACCTGTCTCCAGGGCTGCACTATCCCCATGGAATGCCCTACCTCCACCTGTCTCCAGGGCTGCACTATTCCCCATGGAATGCCCTACCTCCACCTGTCTCCAGGGCTGCACTATTCCCATGGAATGCCCTACCTCCACCTGTCTCCAGGGCTGCACTATTCCCATGGAATGCCCTACCTCCACCTGTCTCCAGGGTTGCACTATTCCCATGGAATGCCCTACCTCCACCTGTCTCCAGGGCTGCACTATTCCCATGGAATGCCCTACCTCCACCTGTCTCCAGGGCTGCACTATTCCCATGGAATGCCCTACCTCCACCTGTCTCCAGGGCTGCACTATTCCCATGGAATGCCCTACCTCCACCTGTCTCCAGGGCTGCACTATCCCCATGGAATGCCCTACCTCCACCTGTCTCCAGGGCTGCACTATTCCCATGGAATGCCCTACCTCCACCTGTCTCCAGGGCTGCACTATTCCCATGGAATGCCCTACCTCCACCTGTCTCCAGGGCTGCACTATTCCCATGGAATGCCCTACCTCCACCTGTCTCCAGGGCTGCACTATCCCCATGGAATGCTCTACCTCCACCTGTCTCCAGGGCTGCACTATTCCCATGGAATGCCCTACCTCCACCTGTCTCCAGGGCTGCACTATTCCCATGGAATGCCCTACCTCCACCTGTCTCCAGGGCTGCACTATTCCCATGGAATGCCCTACCTCCACCTGTCTCCACTATTCCCATGGGCCCTACCTCCACCTGTCTCCAGGGCTGCACTATTCCCATGGAATGCCCTACCTCCACCTGTCTCCAGGGCTGCACTATCCCCATGGAATGCCCTCCACCTCTCAGGGCTGCACTGGAATGCCCTACCACCTGGGCTGCACTATCCCCATCCCCATGGAATGCCCTACCTCCACCTGTCTCCAGGGCTGCACTATTCCCATGGAATGCCCTACCTCCACCTGTCTCCAGGGCTGTACTATCCCCATGGAATGCCCTACCTCCACCTGTCTCCAGGGTTGCACTATTCCCATGGAATGCTCTACCTCCACCTGTCTCCAGGGCTGCACTATTCCCATGGAATGCCCTACCTCCACCTGTCTCCAGGGCTGCACTATCCCCATGGAATGCCCTACCTCCACCTGTCTCCAGGGCTGCAATATTCCCTTTGTTCTTTCTTGTGAGTTGATTTACTCCAATTTCTCCTAGATTGTAAGCTCTTCATCAGGGCACTCATCATCTCTTGTATCTTTGTCTATTGGTTGTGATTATATATATATGCCTACTATATTTTTGTAAATCCCTGCAGGATATGTTCATACTATATAAATTAAGAGAATATCAATATTATTGATAACATAGTTATTTATAGACACAGCAAGGCTTTATAGGAATTGTAGTTCAGTTGTCAGCATTCTGCTTGGGACATGACACCAGGTATGTAGTATAACCTAACCTGGACATGTGTGTGGGCAGATGGAGTCCTTATTTAACTACAGGTGTCCTACATGAAGCACAGTTAGCCTTTAATTATTTTTATATAAATACCAGACATATGTGAGTGAGTGGGCTGCTCTAAGTAAACTTTATTTATTTGAATTGCTCTTAATTAAAAGTTTGAAAATAAATGGTGGTTTCATATCAGATAATAGCATACATAAAAAAAAAAAAAATAAAAAAAAAAAAATATATATATATATGATATACTGTAGGCAGAACTTGGCCATCATGTAAAGCAACGCATCTACCACGAGCTCCGCATATACTCATCTTAATTTACATTTCTGGTGCCTACCCGACTGCAGAATCACGGTAATTTGACGCCTAAAAGGTGTCCCGGAGACGCTGCTTGTACTGGTGAAGCTTACCTTCGCTTGTTTCGGCGTTGTTTTGTGCTGTCCATCTTGATGCCTAGTGTGGGACCAGCAAGAGTTGCAGTCGACCTCTCCGCTGGGATCCTGTGGGCTGACTTGCGGCTGAGTCCTGTGTCCTCCCCCCTTGGACTGGTGGGGGTTATCCTGGTCTGTTCTACAACAGCTCTTGGTGCCCCTACCTGCACTCATCCCTGAGACCTGCTGAAGCATGGAGGCTCACTCTAAGATGGCGGATGCGCCATTTGCTACCATGGACTCACCTATAAAGTCTGAGTGGGCTCTCTATTACTCATTAGAGTGGTCCCCAAGTAAACTGGATGAAATCTTCACCCGCTTCTGGGCAACACCACTGCACCCCAGGAGGTAGAATAGAATGGAGGAGGGAGAGTACTAGGGCCAGTGAGTTGCAATGCAAACACTGCATTTTCTCTGAAAAGTCAGTGTTTACATTGAAAAGCCTGCAGGGACAGACTATAGACACCAGAACCACTACCTTAAGCTGTAGTGGTCCTGGTGACTATCGTGTCCCTTTAAGAATTGTATTTTTGTTGTTGAATATAAAGCTATGTAAGTTTTAAAAAAAATCTGGCTCCTAACCTTTTTTAGCTGGCTCCTAGTTTCAGGGCAAATTTGTCAAGCCCTGGTTTATTTTATTGTACTTACCGTATGTACTATGTCTCTCTAAGCTTGTACACTGTTCCTTTAAAAATGGTGCTGAACCCTAGACATCCTTCAGCTACCCTCTGTGACTAGCGAATTACTGTTGTAAAGAACCAAAAAGCACCACAAAAATAAAGAATGTAAAAAAAAAAATATATATATATATATCTGACATACACTACACTCTCAGTTAAAGTTGTCCCTTCCCAGAAGCTACGTGGCTGCCTCATTTAGCCAGGACATATCTAGTGATGTCTGTCCTCAGCCTGTGCTTCATTGCCCGAGTTTCGGCCGCCATATGACCTCATTATGTTTCCTGGCGGCCTTTAGACTTCAGAATATCGTAAGTACCGATTGGCTTCCTTCGCTCCTTGCATCACCACTTGGGCAGAGAAAGAAAATCCGCATAACAAAAATAACAAATTCTTGACTATACCGTTATTGTAAATGAAAATATCTCACACTTTGTAGAGTCAAGTGCAGTCTTTTAGCTACCTTTAGCCGTCAGCACCAATATTGTTACAGTACAGCAACGATGGAAAACAAAAAGAAAATTGAGTGGAATATTTTCTGTACTCACCCAGAATTGAGTGGAATGTTTCTTGTACTGACCCCGATGTACATTTATATCAGCACCAGAAATATAAGACAATCACGTTTTCCTGCACATTGAGCAGACATGTACTGGCTAATCTAAAGCCACCTGCAGCTGCAACATGAGTCAAGTTTGCATACATATAAAAGGCAGTTCTAAAAACACAAACGTATAACATACAGGTAACCTACCTGTCATTACCAACAGACAAAGTGACATCAGAAGATGTAAGCTTGACATTGT